CTGCGGGGCTTCACCCTCGGCCGAGGGGGCTGAACGCCTCCGAGCGCCGGGGGGAACATCACCCGCGCCCCGGTCGGCGCACCCCAACTTTTCCGAAGCCTCCCCACGTTCGCCACGGCCGCGTTCCCCTTTCCAGAAAGAGCATACCCAGCACCCGAACCCCCCCACAGGTTTGGAAAGCTGTTCATCGGCGCTGTGTTTTAAAAATACATTAGCGATGCCTGGCTGCTTGGATGCTCATCACCTCTAAAGAGCGTTTTCAGCACGCAGCCGGGAAGACAGGCGATGGGAGGTCAGCATAAAGTGGATGGATAAATAAATAACGCATAAAGAGACGGCAGATGACGCGTAGCGTCAACCCTGATCTTGAGCGCAATTCCCGCTGCAGGCAATATGGACGTTACCTGAGGAAAGGTTTATCTCCTGACTTCAGGATCCGGCCTGCACCAAAGATGCCAATGCCACTACTTGTACCAGAACATTCAGCGTCCCTGATCAAAACCAGCATAAACTTGCGGGCCGGGGGAGCAGCTTTATTATTCACAGAGTAAAAAGGGTTCTTTCTCAAGCTATTACTGTTGCCAACTGAAAACACCAGTTCTTTGTGGGGGTTTAACACATTTGTTTCCAGCCCGTTCATCACCTCCTGTTATTAAATGAGGCTACGAGGCAGGTTTGGCCTTCCCTGGGATGGGCACAGTCCCACTGCCTGCGCTTACGTGCGAGCGATTCCCCTGGCTTCTGCCACCGCGGAGAGGCGCGCACCAACCGCGCTGTACAAACAGCGGAGTGTCACAGGGTCGCTGCGAGCGCAAGTTCCATCCACTAATTCTACGGATGCGTAAATCTGCAAATAATTAACTTGTCAAGATCCAAGCTGTCGGGTACTTACGCCTGCTTATTCTTAAAAGTCGCGCACCTTCGAAATTACTCCCAGCTATCCTGACCAGAAGAATGACTGCCAGCCACGGCGGCCAGAAACTGCCTGCAGGCAGGAAAGCAGTACCTAAGCAGATCTTAGGTACTAAGCGGTACCTAAACTTTTTCACAAGGTGAAAAAAGTTGTTTTTTCAGCTATGCGATACCTAAAAGCCTTCCCATAAGGAGTAAATTCTTAGCAGGCTAACTCATGTAGCTTTTCAAAGGCATGTAGGAGCCACAGTAAAAATTCAGACAGGGATGTGAAAAATTTTCTTTTTATGAAGCACAAATGTTAAAGTATAACTCTACACTGCAGTGATGCTTACATGTCATAAAAAGATTTTTAAAAAGTGTAGTATTCAATACTACATGCATGACATTATATTAAAAAAAATATGAAAAGGTGTATTTAATGCCTTGATTCAGTAAGGAGAACTCTTTTGTAAGCTGAGTATTCTTATTTCTGCCTCCCCCGTTATTTCACCTGATCAGCTTTCTCTGCAGAAACGTAGAAATCAGTTCACTGACTTGAATGCAGCAATCCATCATAGCAAAACAGGTTTCAGAGTAATCCATCAACAGAGCTAAAGAACAACAGCAGAGTCCTTTCAAATTAAAAAAGTGGTCTGGTTGAGAGACCAGCCACTCACAGCTCCCTGTACCCCAAACTAACTTCTCACTTGAGTTACAGAAAAGATTTACTTTCTAACAGCTGAAAGGTGTAAGTCCTTATCAAACCGCGGAATGAAATAGCTACTCTTTCTGCTGCATCTGAACAGTCATTTTTGTTTCTCTGTGGAGAATCCAGCCTGAACTGTACCTGGAGCGACCTGGAGAGACGAGAGAAGTATTTGTTAAAAATGAGAGTTGCCTATTTTCAGTGTTCAGGCATATGCTCACAGAATGTTAAAGAAAGAAAAAGTCAAGATCTTCTGTATGTTGAGTCCAGAAATAAAGTTGGACAATATCAATTCGTATGTTATAAGGTAACAGTGGTTCTCACTTACTCATCTTCTTATGTATTCAGTTTTTTGGTCCGTATCTGAAACTGATGAGTCGCTTTCATCAGAAGAACAAGAGGAATTTTGCCATTCACAAGAGCTGTTACGACAACGTGGTTTCTGCACACTTTCTGCGTCACCCAGGAGTTTTGATTGAAAAGCACGAGTACACTGCCAGTCAACTGCATCTTCCCGGGAAGAGAGAAGAGCTGCAGAAACATCCACATTCTCCTCGAGGGTTCCCAACAGCACACTTTTTAAGTTAATGGTAAAGCAAGCACTGTTCCTTCGCCTAGAAGAATAGTTACAATTTACCTCAGAGAAAGGATTAAGTAACTCACTACTCGCATCTTTGTCTTCTTCAACGTCCGTCTCGCGCTCTTCAAAATCTTCTGGGTCAGCGTCTGGATTTTCACTTGCCTGGGTGCCGCTGCTGTCACATGTGCTACCTGTTGAGCACTGCATGAATACATTTGGCGTGTCAGAGGAATGAGGTACTCTACTTATGATATCACGCCCTGTGTAGTAATGATTACTTATGGCACTGCTGTCACTGTCATCACTGTCATCTTCATCACTGACACCACTGCTGGATTCATTTGCCTTTTTTTTAACCTCTTTGTAAATGATCTCTACAGAGGCTATGTCTTCAGATTCCGATGTCCAAGGTGAATAGGCCAACATCCTGATGAACACCTAAAAGAGCAAAGCGAATTAAAAAAAAACATCAGCCAAATTTGCACACAGGCACAGAAAAATATGAAAAAAGTACCCCCGGTCATGAGGTTGTCAAACAAATGATCCCTTCTGTGCCACATTTTTGGCTTTTTCTGCAGAGTTCAGGGCATCTAGGACTGTTTCCTCTTCTCCGTTCCTGTAAATATGACAGCCTTCATTACAAATCAAGGCACACAGCATCGGAAAGCCTCAAAGAAATGACACCAGTGCCAAGCAGTGTCAGGTATGAAATGTTTGAATTCTAATTTTTGAGATACCTTTCTAAGACTAAAAGCTCATTTTAGAAATACATCTTAAACGTGAGGTGAGCCTTGCAGCTCGCAGTATACTAGCTCTTGCAGTTACCATGCAAAACAGAAGCCTTACAGGGATGATCAATTTCAATGTCCTTTAGAAATGTACCATTTGAAGCAATGAACTATGCAACATCCTAAGTCCTGTTTTCTCAGTTTTACTCTGCACTTCTGAGGATTATTGAATATTTGAAGCATTGGGGGGAAATGCTGACAATAAAAAAATTAACCTTAAACACCACTTGGCAAAGTCACGTTCAGCAATCTTAGGGATATGAAGGGAATGACGTAGCAAAGGTCAGAAACATGAGGAAAAAAGCCTTAGAAAAAGTTGACACCAATCAGCTCTGGATACGTTTGTAGAAAATGGAAAATATTTATGCTGAAAAACCCCACAGAATTAAATGTAAAAGAAGTCAGAGACTATAAAAAAAAAAGCAAGCAAGCAAGCAAGCAAAGATGGATAGAAACAAGTTCCAGGAATCTTGTTAGTTTTGCTTGAAATTTACTGCCAGTTCAGTCTCTTCTCTTTCTATTAAAATGAAAACATTAGCTGACTCAGGACTGGCTTCCTCAAGCGCTAAAACATGACACTTGACCGCAGAAGAAGTCAAAGAAAGATTATTTTACTCAAAATGGTGGAACAATTTGAGTGATATATTACCATTACCTTTCTTTCTTCCTTAAGTACTCTTCCTTAATCATGGACTTTTTTGCCAATCACTGTATGTGACTGCTGAGAATAGCTCAGCATTTGGAAGGTGATGCAGGTACTGTTTGCCTGGTGTATGTGCCCATCCTCCTCGCTACCCCCACCCCAAGTAAGTTTTCTTCCAGAGCTATGTTGTTTCTTTCCTTTTCCTTTGCTTTTTGTTTCCATTCAACTCCAATATTCGGGTAGATTATGACAGCCTGGTTCAGGAGTTAGTTTCTAAGATACTATGCCAGCTCTAGATTCTGGCAGAGATAACTTGCATATAAATATCCTTTTTTTCCTACTAAGTTTTCCACTATCAGGCATCCTTTTCACTAATCCCTGGTTATAACAGAATACAGTAATCAATCATTACTGAGACTGGAGGAGGAAGACAGACATCAGGCTACCCAGAGAAGTGATCCTGAACTTGCTAGCAACAGTTCTGGAACGAACAACTAGGATACTTTTCCAGCAGGGACATACCTGCACATAACTGCATCCCAATCTACGGTATGAGATACATGTGAAACTGGCAGGTTGGGGACCCGCAAGGTCTATCTGACTTCAGTAAAGAGGATTTGTCCTCTGATTGAGAAGCTACGGTTGATGTTACAAAGCAGACTCAGGAAACCTGAGAAACAACATGCTTTAAAGACTGCTTCCTCAAAGCAGTGTCTCATCTCTACCAAAGGTCTTTGATAGTCTGTCCTTTTTCTCCTTGCTGAGGTGAATTGAGAGTAAGTTCTTCTTTGTTGTGTGCGAGATCATTTCCAACAACCGTCCAAACCTTGCTCTTACCAGGCTGCCGAACTTTTACTTCTAGCACTTCTCAGGTGCTGTTCTTGACGCCTTTTGTGGACAATAACTGTGAAGCATAGCTTTCGAAAAAAAAGTCTCAGAGCACCAACAGTGACTCTTTTCTTCTCCAGATGTGCCTAAATAACTGGCCCATCTTTTGGGGATAATGAGACCAAAACTCCCAACACTAGGCCATTTTTATGCATCACTACAGGAACAATACGCCCACACCCAACTGGGTCTTAAAGCTACCTTTTGTCTTTTCAGCTTGCTTTCCTATGGAAACATGAAGACCTTGAAGGCGAGTTTAAAATATTTGCTTTCAGTTGTAGAATATCTCAAAATGCCTCTAAACTCCAGCAACCAGGGACCTGGCTAAACTATCTTCAAATCTTCAGGGAACGCTCTGATTTTTGATGTAATAAATGGAAAAATATTACAGGGGTAACTGGTTTTGCTCTTAGAGAGGAGTACAATGCTGCAGGGTGAAATAATGGAGGCAAAATGTGCCAGAAACTGCTTTGCTAAGGAGCAATGGATACACATTGCTCCTGAATGTTTTCAGAGCATCCTTCTTGGTGGAGGCCAGGTCTTCTCCCTGTACACTTCACCTAAGAACTGGAGTAGGTTTTTTGTTTTGGAGTTACTGCTCTGGCTCAGATAGTAGAAGAAATTTGTCTGCTGCAGGAAGGATTTACATATAAGGTAATTTTCAAAGGGCAAGGGGTTAATTGTCCTATGCTGGGTGCTCTGCTGTAGGACCTAGCCTGCTTCTATGTACCATAAAGAGTTCATTTGAAGTTACTTTGGGGGTGTCTCCCCTTCACTACTACCTGCCCCCTCTAACTTCATAGAATCATAGAACAGCCCAGGCTGGAAGGGACCTCGAAAGGCCATCTGGTCTAACCTTTTGTGGGAGAGGGAGCCTAGATGAGATTATCTAGGACCCTGCCCCATCACATATTGAAAACCTCCAGGGATGGGGGCTCTACCACACCCTTGGGGAGGTTGTTCCAGTGATTGATTGCTCTCACTGTAAAACATTTCTTTCTTGTATCGAGATGGAACCTCTCATGGTGCAACTTGTACCCACTGCCCCTTGTCTTGAGAGCCTCTGTCCTGTTTGTAGCCACTCTAAGTACTGGAATACTGTAATGAGGTACCACCTGAGCCTTCTCTTCTCCAGGGAGAAAAGGCCTAACTCCTTCAGTCTTTCCTCATAGGGCAGGTTCTCCAGCCCTTTGCTCATCTTCGTGGCCCTCCTCTGGACCCTCTCCAGTCTGTCCGCATCTTTCTTGCACCGTGGGAACCAGAACTGGACACAGTACTCCAGGTGTGGCCTGACAAGCGCTGAGTAGGGTGGGATGATCACACCTCCTTCCCTTTGTTAGTAACTTGTTACGGAAGTAGCAAGAAATGGTTTTGAAAAAGACCGAGTATTTGCTCTGCAGAACAGACAAGACTTAGAAGCCTATAGATTATCTTTGACACAGGTAAACCACAAATTAAAAAATTGTATGTGCTTACATAACTTGTACCTATTGCACAGGATTAGAAATTTCAGATGGTAAACTTCCTCCTCCCAACCAGGAAGGTTAAATACGAGAATTGTTACATACCAAGTTATGTGGAAGTGATTTGTCTTGAAGAATATAACCTCCTGCATGTATACACTTCAGAGCACTGGCTACCAGCAGTGAAAAACATATAGCACCTATGATTGCAATTGCATGATAATCTGCAAGTGAAAAAACCAAACAAACATACACGAATGAAGTTTCCAATGACGACATCTCAAATTCCACATGCAGAACAGCTATTTAGAATCACAGAATAATTTTGGTTAGAAGGGACCTCTGGAGGTCATCTGGTCCAAAGTCAAAACAAGACCAAATCTCAAATTAGATTCAGGAATTAAAAAAGAAATTACACCATCTTTGATAAGTATTTATGCAGTTAGTGGAGATTTGTATGGCTCACAGGATTAACAATAGATTTGTAGCGCCAAAGTAGATGGGGTTTTTATATTTCACTTATAAATCCCCACAATGTTTATCACTCGGAAGGTACTTTCTCTCTTATTGTTTTTAGGATTAATTGACTTGTAAATCTTGCTACATAAAAAGAAAACACTTGCACATAACCAAGTCTGACAGTCCATTCCTGCACCACCGCACAGTTACCTTGTTGAGCTACAGAATCTGCAGTTATACATTTCCAGGCTGATGGGATGGAACGTTGGTTTAGAGATGCAGTGAGCATAACAGACACACAGTAATTTCTATTTGGATACAATTCTTCAATGACAGTACTAAAAATTTCTTCAGTGGTTTTCTTACGTGACCTCTGCCATGGAAGAAAATGTTTTAAAGTTAGCTATTTGCCTAAAAAGAGATCCCCAGCCACTGATAAAACATTGTCCTGGTTTCAGCAGGGATAGAGTTAATTTTCTTCCTAGTAGCTGGTACAGTGCTGGGTTTTGGATTTAGGAGGAGAACAAAGTTGATAACACACCAATGTTTTAGTTGTTGCTGAGCAGTGCTTACACTAGTCAAGGCCTTTTCAGCTTCCCATGCTCTACCGACTGAGAAGGCTGGAGGTGCACAAGAAGCTGGGAGGGGCACAGCCAAACTGGCCCCAGGGACATTCCATACCATGTGACATCACGCTCAGTACATAAACTGGGGGAAGCTGGCTGGGGGGGCCGCTGCTTGGGGACTGGCTGGGCATCGGTTGGCGGGTGGTGAGCAATTGCACTGTGCATCACTTGCTTTGTGTATTATTATTATTATATTGTTATTTTATTTCAATTATTAAACTGTTTTT